AAGTTAGAGTTCAATTTATAGTGAGATTATTGAGGTGACTCCCCAATTTCGACTCCTTAGCCTCGTGACTCGTCAACTGTGTGCTTCTCTTAGTACAACTATAAGTTCGCTTGAAAATATTTATATGTCAGAATACCAGTTGTGCCGAGAAAGCGTATGCTGAAAATAACTGGTTAAATTTACAAACATTTGATGAGCAAGCACGTTGAGAAGAAAAGGGAGTGTATACGCACAAATGTATTTATTGTGAATATCAAACAATCAGTGAAATGATAATTAAAAATTGAGATGCAAAAATACGTTCAATCAAAATGTTTCACTCGTGTACATAGTGGGTCGAACGTCTAACGTACATTAGGTAAATAGTGAAGATACAGTGGGCCTTTCTTGAACTATCCTATGTGACCGAGAGAAATAGGTCATACAAATAAAAAGTAGTGGTAGGCCTGTGATAAGAGCACTGTTGCACAGCATATATGTATCTCTTTGCACCTCTTTTCAAAAACGTACCAGTGACAGTTAGTGTATGTTAAAAAGAAAATTTTAAAAATCGTACAAAATACTCCGATTAGTAAACGCCAAACTGAAATGCAATATATTTGTATCGTTAATTAACTGAGGTTTGTACATTCTGAAGTGTTTTTCAAATGATAAATCTGTAGTGACTCACATTTATCACGAGAACACGACTGGTTTAATAAAAACAATTATTATAACCAACTGTACCGGTGTTTGTTTTAACGTGCTTTTGTTTGACTGTGCTAATGACAGCTATTTTGTGCTTCCATTCTTATTCACACACTTCGATTGTAACTTCGCGCGAATTCGATTACCTTCTGTAACCAAGGTTGTATCCTGGCACGATCTCGGTATCCTTTCGATGTCACGAGATCGCCAGCAAATATAACTCGACTTGATCCATTAACTGCCTTCTGATATTTGGCTTCTCGGGGATTTTATGGATCTATTTGGTTACGTTCAAACTTCGCCTTTTGATTTATTTGGCACGTGTTTCTTGGTAGCGGTGTTCATAGTTAACCTCAACTCGACGCCACACTGTAAATCTATGAATATTATTTAGCAAGTTATCAAATAAATAATCAAATAAAATGTGCTGAAAATCGTAAGTACGGAATTACAAAACACCAAAGAACTGTATGAAACTATAGTGTAGAGATAATAGAAATCTGTGAGGTCTAGAAAGAAAAAGAATAAAAGTAATAATGCCAAAGAGCATGTTTGTTGAACACTTTAACTCCACGTACTAAAATGAAAGATTCAGTGATTATTAGCTTGCTGTTTTATTGTGATGTAAGTAGTGTGGGTGATTATTGACGTGGAAGAAACAAATAACTGAATCAAACAAATGTGGTCTTCGCAACGTATCTGTCATTTCAGTGGACTATATTTCCAGCTCTGATTGCAGTTACTACTATTGTTGATATATGGTGTCAGAGTTCACTGGCAGTGACTTGTTCGATCCCCGTCCGTCTGCAGATCAATACAATTATGTCTTTAATTTTTGTTCAGTACTCTCTAAGGATGCTGGTTTCAAAATATCAAGATTAACAGTATCGTTCCACTCAGCTTTCTCTATAGTGGCTGCATTGTCATTTTTCCGTAAGATTTCAAAAGGAACCATATCATAAATCTACAATGGATATCGTAATTGATTACTTCTAGTGAATGTGCATGTCGCGTTAGGAATATGGACGTCCTCATAGAGAATGAAATGCAGTGTAACTATCTTCAATTGCCAAACCAGAACTGGCGAACAAGCAATGGCACAGGAATCGATTTATTCAACAGTTACAACACTTTCACTCACTGGTACAACAATACTGGCACGATATCAATTACTACTATCTAAACAGCAATAATGAGAGCATATATCTTCATACTGTCGTTGGATTTTCTAAATGACTTTGAATTCCGACTACGAATTCATAGATTTCCCTGTCATCGTTAATACTTTAACATCTTTTAAGCGAATGGCTATCGGAAACTTAGTGAATCGATCAGTATATGTTAGTGTGTGAGTAAAAGTATTAGGTGATAAGAAGTCGACCGTATAAGAGTGTAGATTTTCAAACCTAGCGTTCCTTGAAGAAATTTCAACCATGGACAGCTCTGTATGTTATTGAAATTTTGGTTACATGGTCTCCCCATATTCTCACACTTTAATTTGTATTTGGCCAGAGAAATCACTCTGTGATGAGCTTTAAGGTAGCTCTTATTTGTGGATGAGACCTATCACGGAGTTTGTCAAAAATAAGGCAAATCATACCATGAGTGTCGGATAGTGTTCCAGTTGATGAGTTGTCATTTCAGACTGTAGGGAATATTTAGAACCTCAAAATTTCTGTATAGCCAACATATAATTTGTAATAGAGTTAATATGAAATCTTTATAGTACTTTGACGACATCCCTTCTACTCTTTTCTATTTACTCAGTATTAGACGTAAATTGTGAAATAAATCTGAGTTGACAAATTTCAATTGTACCATATTTATCAAACCATGTATTGAGGCTTTAGTTAGTAGCAAATATTGTCAAGTTTCTACCTGTTAATACACAACTGAAGTGACTGTTAGACAGGTAGACATCTAGCAACTCTCTTCAGGTGCTTCATGTGATTCGCATTGGTATTAATCTTATGGGGAAAGAAATGTAGTTACAGCCCTCTGCTTATCTGTTGCCTCATCACTGTATAGGCAGCGACGTAAGAAACATGTACTGTGAACAATAGAGATGAACCATTGGTTCACCTCATTAGTGATGTTCCAGTCGTCCTGGAAAAGACGGAAATGAAAGCTTTAGTGCATGTCGAATGCACTATGCTTACGTCAGAGTGCAAACTATGATATATATATATATATATATATATATATCACCAAAATAACTGTCTGTCTGTATTGATGATCAACGTCTACGGGAGTTGGACGAGAACAGCCTGTACTCTTGTTTTACTTCTAAGTCATACACCTGAGTTGATCTATATAGTCGTGATAAAAAGTGGTTGACCAGAGTAAATGCTCTCAATAAGCAACATGGCATATTAACGAGAATAAGTTGCACAAGTCTAAGGCGGAATCACTGACGTATGCACTGGTCTACGACGAAGAACTGATTGACGAGCGTTGTCTGTCGTTTAACTTGACAAGGTTCAGTGATCTTTTCAGGATTCAGTGACCTGCTGACAGAAGAGTTCAGCTACAGCTCAGCAGCATATTAGTGGTCCTGAATACTTACATACATACCACTGAACAACGAGCGAAATTTGCAACTTGGAAGTATGATTATTGTTGTGTATTTTTTAAAGAAAAAATAAGTATTTATATAAAAGTATGTTGAAAATATCCTGATTTTCGCTTCGCGTTTCTTATGAAAATGAGTATGGGGATACTTTATGAAATTAATTTTTCGGTTTTATTAACACGATTACTCTGTGTTGCATGTGGATATTAGTTGTTCGCGTTCCACTGGGAGCAGGTTTAGCTGGACTCATAATGTTTGTAACCTGGCCTGTGCACTTTAGATCCACACTCATTGAAGACGATGAGAGAGGTCCGAACTTACTTCAAAGTCGAAGCGCCGAGTCATGTATGAGTTTGACTGTGGTGCGTCCAACGTCATCCTCCATTGCATTTAGAGTTCTGATATGTGTGCAGGTGAAAAGTGAGGCTTTGATTTTCGGTTAAATCATCCCACCAAACCACTAGCTTGTGAATAGTAGGCGGTCGTTCGGAGCTTTATAATCCCTAGGAGTGTAGTAAAACAACGGTAAGACAACGATGTATTGCAGAAATAGTTTTCGCAGATGTAATTGCTATTCAATTCAGCGGTCATCTTCTGTGGTCACATCAAACATGTTAGGCGACCTATTTCTCCAGACAGTGTGAGGACGACGAGGCTATAGCTATCTTTCACTGAATGTGCTTTAGAATCATAACAAGCTGCAAAGTGCATACTCGACTTTCTTACTTATGAAAATAATGAGCAAATATTGTGTGTTAACGATTCAAAGGGACAATAGTTCCATCAAAAAACTATTCTGGATGAACAAATGTTAGTTGTGGGATTTTTAGGTTTTTTTGGAGCGATCAACTCACTTCTAATTAATTGACTTGCTTCTAAACTAAATTGTCGACCTTTTAAGGTCAGTGTGAACTTCACCTTTTTCAGGCTATGAAATGTCCTAATGAGGTCCTCAGGGTTCAGTACTAAGACCTCTTCTTTTAATGATTTATAGAAACGATGTTCCTTAGAAAGTCTCGTAAAGTAGTCCATCTGAGACATATAACAGACTACGAATCCAACTTAAGTAACTGCGACAAGAATGCTTTTCGAGTAAACCTTGCATTGGTAACACCAAAGCACATTTGTCGCCCGTATGACAACAGAACTTTTCGCTTAACCTTCAATCGCATTAATCGGCCCCATTTAGGGTGTAGAAGTACAGTGTTTTCTCCATTACTCCAAAAGGACAAGGATACATTGAAATGTATTCGACGGCTAGCCACAAATTCAAATTCAGTCATTATGGAGAGCACCATAAATCACTGAACCGTTGCCCATTAAACCATATGAGTCCCAGAGAAAACCTTCTGACGGCTAAGAGCATCCCCTAAATACATACCTACGCTCACTCCCAACACAAACCTTAGAGAAGACACCGAGAAACTGGAGACAACAGCAGAGAGGACTGTATGCACACCTTCTACTCCTTAAGAGTGGTCAAAGTCTGGAATTCACTGACTGCTTTTCCAGCCCAAGAGACCCCTAAGGAGTGCTTGAAGAGAAAACCTAACATATTCTTAAGGTCGAAGGACAGTATCTCACAATAATAGTATTTTTTTCTCTTATCGTTAAACATATTTAGGTTCCTACCTGGTGGAATCGGTGATCCACTGCTACTGGATACGGAAGCCCGTTAAGCGGAGGCTCCATCTATTCCGTCCGAAATCATTTGGAACAACTTCTTTTTTTAAAATTGTGTGGAGAAACTGCGGCGCGAGATTTGATCTCCGACTAAGATGAATGATTGTAGCGAAGAAAAACAGTTTGTGGTAGAAGGTACAAGCTGTACCTTGTTTGATGATCGGGAAAAAGCTCTTGAAGTTGATGGGGAAAAACTACTAATACCATGGTGTGGTGACAAATCAATTTTGATTGATAGGTCAGGCTCTGTTATTCATAACATTATTCGTATAATTTGCAAATAATTATGTAGTTGTGCATCCTGACTTATTTTTCAGATGGTGAGGTAACGTTTTCCTTTTTTTTGGTGTTAGATGTTTCATGTCAGTTTCTTTTACGTCGACCTAAATATTCTACAGATCAATCGATAGTAGGCGAGCATTACCTCAACAAGTTGCTCATATTTAATATGAGACATACCAAGGCAATTGCCTAGCTAAATTTTGGAAGCTGATTGTGCTGTGGGATAGAGTTTATCCAGAGTATATGTGAGGGGTTATTGCATAGAACTTGTAACACCCTCATGAGGTGGCTTCGGTAGGATTACAAAATACTAGACAGTCGAAGTCTTAGGAGTGAATGATAAGCACATGGTTTATAACACACTCTGACTTCTTAAAGGTTTGAGTTGAATGTACATATAATTGCAGAAATAACTTCTATCAAGCCATTTCAGTCTTCAGTAATAAGGACACTAGGTTAGTGAACCTGTGTTAATCCTGACAGTTTGCATTCCATTGAAGGTCTGGCTTCTCCTTAAAAATGTCCGCTGATGGGGCTAATACCACTTGTTCGGGTAAGGCGTTCCAGTCCTTGAACACCCGATGAGAAAAACGGAACCCCGCTTCAAGTTTATTAGATCGCAGTTTGTGAACCTTCTTGTCATGACTTCGGAGATTATTAGCGCTTGAGAGAGCAAAATGATAAGAAATTAACTCCAAAGTCGTAATTGAAGATACGAAGTGCGAATACAAAGTCACCTCGCGTCTTACGATACGACAAGGGAAAAAGTTTTAGGCATTTCAAACACTCATCGTAAGGGAGTTCAGAAAAACCCTTCACAAATTTTGTTTCCGCACACTGAATACACCCAAGTGAGTTAGTATCCTTAATCAGACATGGGCTAGCTGCTTGTTACAGTTCTCTATGGGCTTTCCTTATGTACTTAAGAGGTGGTCAGCTATTGTGTAAAATATGCAAGATTACTAAAAAATAACATAAATCTTCCTCACACTTTAGCTGCTGTAACTCTCGTTCTTGCTATCAGTTTGAGCTCGTCTGAGTAGTCCTAAAACGTGTTTTTGTATTTCGTAACACCCAAGCCACGCCCGACTTCGCTTACAAAAAGACTGGATGACATCAAAGATGAAACGGTTATCTTGGAAACATCGTTTTTCACTCTACATTCTTTGTCCAATATCATGATCTCTCTACCAAAAAGAATTTACTAAACAAAAGCATGGCTTTAATTTATACGTAAATGTTGCTAAAAGCGAAGAACTATCACGGTCGGGGTTTATTGTGGACTTTTGATCGTTTGAAATCCTTCGTCAACTTGCACCCCCAGTTGTACAGGCGAGATGTCCATCTCCCAATCAAGAGAAAAATATAATTCTCAGTATTCCATTATTTTAGTTTATGGTTGTGAAGCTTGGCCTCGAAAAGTTAAGGGTAATCGTAGGTTACTAGTATTTGGTCATAGGTGTCTTCAAAGTATCGCCCACGTATTGTAGAACGACGAAGTGAACAATACTAAGTTTAGGGATAGAATAGTAGACAAATTCAGTCAGTCGTTTGGCAAAGGTGAGTCATTATCAACTAGGACACCCATTGCGTACATTCACTCACATCCTACTCCCAGGTGGAACGCTGACTGGCGTATAAGTAAGATGGGAGAAAGCTAATGGTGGTCAAACGAAGATGTATCAGTCTTTGGAATTATTGGCTGTTGGGCTGAATTATTTCATTAGATTCAGATTACCTGATTGGAGTCCGCTCAAAGACCGTAATCTGTGACAGGGAATGTAAGGCTGTAAAGAGCGAAATTTTCAGCATTAGTGTAGATTGTCAATGATACTTTTGCTACTACTTCACTAGTTCTCACCGCTCTTGTATTATCTTGGTGTTTAAAACTACCCTTGGGTATGTTTGTTCCATGCTTTGCGTTGCTTTTGACTGACTGGTCAGAACTCTGTTGTCAGTCAAGCTATTTAGGTGTCAGTTCGCGCATTAGGTAGTACAATCATGCTTACATTCAGAACTATTGTCTTTCAACTTTTACGGATATATTCTTGTGCAAACAGTCCACTTATGTCGTTTTATCAGTATAGGGGCTGTGGAGATTATTAGATTTTCTATTGAGATCATGAACCGATTAGTGTTAGACCACCACTGAAAACCTGAAAGCACTGGACGGCCGTTTCGTCCTATTGCGGGACTCCCCAGCAGTGCTCATCCACGATCCCGCTCGCCCTGGGTTCGAATGCTGCGAGCGGGATTGTGTATAGGCAATGCTAAAGAGTCCCACAATATGTCGTTTTAAATGTAACGATGCTCTTTAACCATTTGTCATTGGATTTATACTCTGTCCATGTAATTATTCATCTCAGTAAAAATGTTCAAATTTAGTCTTAGTATCAAAATACTAAATTTAGATGGTATTATAGATATTTCAGTGTGTTGATTATCTGTTATATTAAAAAATTGCTCTATCCTTGTGATTTCAGTTTTGGCGTTACTTGGTCTTTGGTTTTAAGGAAGTGTGTCACGTAACATATGTATATATATCTTAATGTATACTAGGCTTTCAGGCTTTAGGGTAACTCATGTTTTCACAAATTACACTATTTGTCTTATATAACTCTGAAAATTCTTTAACCTCGCACTAATTCACTAGTAGACATGATTATATGGGTGTTTAGCTTGAATCTCTGCAAAAATCTTAGCAAATATAAATATAGCAATTGAAAGTAAAACATACATAATGTCTTCCAACAAAACATTTATGTACTGAATTATCGTTAAAATTCATATCTTTTAATAATCAAATTTAGGACAGCCTCAAGGTGTCAGTGTTTGTAGCGATAAACGGTCTTTCTATAAAACTGTGGTTAGTGAAATCTCGGTTTACATTTTTGTTTTGATCCCTTAACCACCTACGTTATAATTCTATTCAATTTTGGCTTAAATATATAAGTGATGTCTCCCCCTTGCATAATAACTGTCGCTCAAGCCTTATTATATGAACCTGCCGTTAGTTGCTTAGTTTCATCGAACGATTAGTTTTTCATATTGTCTGCCAAATCGATCACAAGTATTAACTTGTATCAGTTTGCTTACTTCACTTATTCACCAGTACTAAAGGTTCTCAAATTGACTCTGAGAATGTATATGTTTAAATACTTGGGGAGTGTCTTCTAGTCATTGTTTATATAAGATATAGTGAATGATCGAGCAACTTCCGCGTTACTTTGGGTTAGCTTATATGGTTGTCAACTTCATGTAACCGGTGTCCACGTGCCATGTATGTATAGCGATCTCTTTCAACATGTTCTTTAGTTTCAAATCAGCCTAATGTTTAATTTATCTCACTTGATGGGATGACAAACGTATTAACAATATTATCACTAAGTAGCCCAAAATTTACATAAAGTTTTCAGTACTACAGTTATCTAATTCCTCAAATTATTACGTTTTATCTCAATTTTGTCATCAACTGACTTTTATTTCGCTACCTTCAGGTTCGATGGACGTGGGTATCTCACTGATTTTTATGAGGAAGATCCTAATTGCGATTTAAGTCCTGACGATCACTTGTCTGAAGAAGAGATTGCAATAGAAAAGATGTGTGATTTCGAACGTTATTTGGAAATGCAAGTGGACGTCCATGAACTCGCAATTCAAGATGGTGAGTTTACTTTTGTATTTGTGTTTTGATGTATTCTGCAATACCACCCTTGCTGATTGTTAATGTGCTCTTAGCTTTTGAGTCAACACATCTTTGGTAAACGTATGTTGACAACTTCGTCTTACGTGGTAAGTAATGTTTATCAACAGAATACAGTCCTTTTAACTTGATATTTGCTGTGATTGTCACTAAATTAACGTTGTTTGGGTTTTTATGTTCATTAGTGCATCCACTGCACATTTTATGCTCCAGAGATTAACACGTTTTACGTCTGTTTATATCTTGCAGGTTGTTTTTGGAGTGGGACATGCAATTCGAGCCTGATGAGGCTATGGGAATAAGTATACTTTCAATGTAATTAAACATAAGTCATTTTTTAAAACAAACTCCTACACTCACGTTTTCCATTCCCATATATATCATTCGTCCTGTTTTTTGTTTTCTAGAAGAAGCTCGAAAACGTGAAGCTGAACGATCTCGCAATGACTATGGAGCCGTTAGCTTCTCTTATGATGAAAATGCTTCCCAACCAAATGGCGACGAATCATACGCTAACAAGGGATCAAGTAAGTAATTGTTATTTTATAGAAATTGGTATTTTATGTTGAATTGGAATATATGTTTGTCAATGAAATTTATTCTCCAGCTTAATTATTTACTCGGATTATTACTATCTGTTAACTGCTATGCAAGAATAATCCGCATGACTTGTTAATATTTGAATACTATTGTCAACCATTTAATGAAGATGACTTTACTGGCAGTTCAATTTCAAATGATTAATGAACTCTCAAATTATCGTATTTAGAAAATGACAAGTTTTGGGGATTAATGTCCAGTGTATCACATCATAATTACTCGCTACCTTCTGTTACAGATCCTGTCTAGTCCTTTAATTTTGTAGATCCAAACTAACTGCCAAAAACTCTAGTTCGTCGCTCTACTTTGACCTTATCAACTTCCTATTGTTTAACATTCTACTTAACGTCTAGTCAACAAATGAGCTGGTAAGAACATCTGACAAATATATGCCAAAAATCCTTTAAGTTGCATGAACATTTTATATGATATGGTTGCTTCCAGAGTTTTTCACTCAATTGCAATAGTAGATTCAAATCGATCTGATTGGTTAGTTGCCTTAATATGAGGGCGGCATAAACTGACGAAGATTCATGAATGTTGGGTTGCTAACAGATTATTTCACAAAAGTAAAGTCACTTTCTGGTATGTTGCGTCATCGCTTAAATGAACAAAGTCTTTTTCGTTTCAAAGCAATCTCTTTTTTCTAAACTAGCTGAGCCTGGGATTAATGAACAGCACTCTGAAGAGCCATATAACTGTCCTCCTGAGCTACAACAACTCTTGTCGAATTTCCAACTTCCGGAATCCGATAAACAAGCTCACATCATTGAAAAGACTGCTGTTTTCGTCTCTCGACAAGGAAGTCAAATGGAAATAGTTCTTAAAGCTAAACAAAATAAAAATCCACTGTTTGGCTTTTTGACTTATGACCACCCACTTAATCCCTTCTACAAGGAGATTGTGAGGTTAATTTCCCAAGGTCGGTACGTTCCGAAACCTCGTCAGACTACAGATAAACCAACTGGGACACTCTTTACAAGTTCGGACGAGTCAAACAAGGTAAGTGTCAAGTTTTTTGAGTTTCCAGATCGTTATAATTACCTCACTTAGTAGTGTTAAGTGCTGTTTCTTTGGTATGACCTTTTTACACGTGGTCACAATTCTTACTGCATCAGTTTTATGTATCATCTAATGAGCTCCACGTTGCTGTGTGAAATATTCGTTTTATGCATTCTCTAAATATTGCCGTCACATTTTTTAGAAGAAATAGGATAGTTTAAACGAGGAATGTAAGTTGTTTTTTTAGGTTTGTAAGTAATTATCCACTTAACACCAGGTATCTTCAGGTTTAAAGCTTATCTACACCCAGTCATGGTTATCTTGCAAACAGTTTTATGCATTCGGAACTTACCTCTGTTATGTGTAAATATTCATTATTAAGATTATACATACCTCCATTTTCCGTTGTTTTCAGTCAATTCATGAAGATGTTTACGAGTTGAAGCTACCAAAGGTGGACATTTCAAATACATCATATGCTCCACTAATATCCAAGTTCAAGAAAATTAATGAAATGTAAGTTCAGTGATACGATAATTTTCAGATTTGAACTAAAATACCAACTTCCTTTTAACGAATGTTGTTACTTTGGTTCTTATTGTGGATTGCAGTCTACTAAATTATTTTGTTTATACAAAGTAATGATTTAAATTCACCACGAACTTTCGTGATTCCTAATTATTTATTAAAGGAATGGGATTCTTGCTTCATATAACAAGTGAATGCTTTTATTTCTCTGTTTACACGGTAAATTCATAGAAATCCAGATTACTCCGAATTCTTCTAATTTCAGAAATAAAACCATCGGTATATATAATATTAATTGGTGGCTTAACCATGGGGAATATTTAGTCTTCAAGTAAATGTACTGCATACGCAAAAAATATTCAAATAATTCACTCTGATTTTACAGATTATATTGTAACCTGGTGAAACCGTCGAATAGGTTATACAGAGGTTAGGGATAGGTTACAGCATAGCAATAATAAATCCACTGATGAGCACGTTCATTGACTGACATGGTTGAGACCCCAATATAATATGCTACCTAGCACAAATGAATTAGAAAAAGCTCAGTTCATAGAGTTGTCATATGTTGAAGAGAGATAGGCAATTTGGAACTGAGGTCAACGAAATGATCCTAATCTATGATTAGATTAATTGGGTGTTGCCTTCAAATTGGTCTCAATAATGAAACTGTATCATCCTTTCCTTATGTTTCTTTAAACTCCAAGTCTCAATAGTTCCCTATACATTTGAACCCTCGAAGTTTATTTGTTCTTTTCGATCTTAACTGTCTACATTGGTTGTTTTTTTACTATCTACAATATCACTGTGATTTTGTTGATTTCATCATACCTTGCTTTTGTGAAGTGCAGCATCCCAAGTTGATGCACATTTGTTCGGAAGCCTAATTCGTTTATAACTATTTGGGAGATAAGGATGTGATCAAACATGAGACTTAGATTTCTTCGGTATGTTCGTAACATTCGTTTGATTAGGGGTTGGTTGATGGATACATCTTAGTATAGTTGTGTGTCTTTTGCAGAATCTGATATAATTATAGCAAATAAGTACTTTGGCTTCGCTGTATATTTAGGGTAGTAGAGAGTCAGCTAAAAATGATTTGCTTTTTAACAATAATGAACTGTGAAATATGCGTTTGTGTCTGATTATTCTCAGCTATCAGTCTTCACAACATTTTTTGAAACTCAGATGTAAGCATAGTTTACGGTCGTTCGCTAGTGTCTTATAGTTTATCTATAACATGTTCGTTGCACAAAATTGTGTACTTATTCCTTTGTAGTATGACGTAAGGTTTTAAGATTCATTGTTAATTTAGTTTATTAGACACATTCAACGTATGTCTTCATAGATTTATTACTCGCTGTATGTTTAGTGTTCTCTTCTGCGCTATCGTCTTATTTGAAGTTACAGCTTCACTACTATCAAACTGTTGCTAGATTTCTGTTTTCTTTTAGTAGTCAGAGTTTTGAATTTTAATGGACTAGTTACAAACCAGCGTAACAGCAATGATACTCCTGACAGTAACCAATGTAGCTTGTGAAATTTGTTCAGATTTGAGCTGTTATTATCGAGCTGTCGCTCAATTCCGGTTATTTTGCAATGTATGCATAAAATAGGTAGTTTTCAAATTTACTTAAAATACTGCTTAAGTTTTGATGTTTATTGTACCATTACAGGGCTGCAGCTGTCGCAGCTGCAAATCGTGTTACCCCTGCTTCTGATATCCAGTCTTCTATCGCTACTCCTGAGGCATTGACTGAAACAGAACGTCCTCTTTACGATCCTAGTGAGGTTGAAAATAACTCTTTGGACAGCCTTAAAGACAATAATAAACCGTTGGATTCAGAAAAGACGAAGACTCCCTCACCACAATCTGAAGTCCACGCCGACGTTTCTGCTACTAATGAAAGCCTTGCTGATGTTCCAGTAGTTGGGAAAGACAATGTGATATCAGAATTAGTAGATCCTTTGTCTCCAGAAGAGTATGAACGTATTTACCAGGAGTATTATAAACACTACTATGCTCATTATTACACACATTATTCTAATCAGTGGGCTTTATCTGAGTATGTCAATGATGAAAGTTTCAATATTGTACAAGAAGCAGCTAAGGCAGCCGCTATAGCAGCTGCGGCTGCAGTCAATGTTGTCCAACAAACACGTTTAAAAGCTAGTGCTCCAGTAATGTTCGAGTAAGTTTTTCTCTTGCTATTATTAATAATATTGTTATTTTAATCAGCAGTAATCGTGGAAATAGTAATATACACTTATAATTCATAGTGTACTTGCTTGCTCTAGTATTTTTGTGTTAAGATCACTCAATACAGCTATATATTTTTCAACTGTATTTGATGCATTTTTCTTCATCGTGTTAATGTCCTGATAGTTGAGTTTTATGCTTTAATATATATATGTATATCGAAATCTTGTTAATTCTTCAGATTTATAGTAAGTTCATATATTCTTTCCTTCTGCAATAGTCAAGCAATTTTCCTCAAGTATTGTAAGAAAGAAAGAGAGACAAACTGGACAGTATCCAACCTCGCACAATAATGGCTGAGTTCAAGATCTCATATTTTTTAACTCCATAACGATACGATCAACAGACTCAAAAAACTTAAAATTGATCGGATATATGGCGTAGTTATACAGGACGCAGATGAATACAGAACAACTTGGTGTTCAAGTTTTCTTAGAGGGAGGATGGAGTAATTGATCTCCATCTTTAAAATCTGGTTTTCATTATACCATCGAAGGTCTCTAAGCATTGTTGTCTAGGATGTGGTAACTTTTAACTATAAACTCAGCAATTTACTTACGTTTTATATCGCTTACTCTACTGATCAGTTACATGTCACAATGAGTTTCCTTAACCACACTAGCTATTCTGAACAGATCCTAGTTTGTCATATGCACCAGCGCAATTAATTTAGTTGATTCAAATTCATTACTTCATCAACTAACTTATCTTTTGTGATTTGAACAGTGTTACTCCACTATTTCTATCTAGTTAAATGTAAAAAAACATAGGGAGTATTTCGAGGAAACCTAAAGATTATCACTTGTGGATCTTTTCACGTTATTACTTTTTGAAGGATAAGAAAATAAACAGGATTACTTTGTTTATTCTGAGGTACATGACCCGTATAACGATGTGTCGTCGATTGTCAACACTCACCGTACAGTCTTAAGGTTGACTGAAATCTTTTTTAACTCATTTCTTCAGTATTGTAATGCAGATTAGAAGTAAATCATGTTCACAAGACTATAGATTAGTACTAAAAAATCACGGTGAAATTCAGCAACAATATAAAAACTTATATACGATATTATAAATATGTTCTGGGAATAATTGCAGAATGCCTGCCGATTTATAAGTGTGATCCGGCTTCTGAAAAAAAATTGAATTTTAAAATTGACATTAACTCTGAAACTACCGTCAGGAAGAAGCGCTGGAAGTGGATAGGACACACATTGCGGAAAGCATCCAACTGCGTCACTAGACAAGCCCTTACATGGAATCCTCAAGGCCAAAGGAAAAGAGGAAGAGCAAAGAACACATTACGCCGGGAAATGGAGATAGACATGAGAAAAATAAACAAGAATTGAATGGAACTAGAAAAGAAGGCCCAGGACGGAGTGGGTTGAAGAATACTGGTCGGCGGCCTATGCTCCATTGGGAGTAACAGGAGTAAGTAAGTAACATTATAATCATAGTATGTGTAAAAGTGGCGGGTTATTATATATATATCACATTGCTTTTGTACCCTATAACTACGGCATTCCTGTTTTGATATTCTTTGCAGACCTCCACTTAGTGATGAACAGCGTGGTATTATAAATAAAATGGCAGAATATGTTGTTCGTAATGGTTTAGAATTTGAAGAATTGGTCATTCGACAAAAAAGCAAAGATCCACGATTTGGATTTCTGAAATCAGATCATCCTTTACATTCATATTACATGGCTAAAAGAAAAGAACTAGACCCTGATGATAGCTTGACTAAAGCTGCAGACACTAATTTTGGTAATATACCTCCTTCAAAATCATTTAAAGTAAGCTCGTCAAAAAAATTGGATTCAAATGAAAAGCCTGAAACAATGTTTCAAGATAATAAAACGAAAAATGGTTCTCTTAGTAAGTAGTTTGGATGGTAATTAGTATTTATTTCTCTGTAAACATAGTACAAACTTTTATGAACATTCACATATCCTCAATTTAAAAAAGTCTTTTGGTCTAATCGCTTGTTCAACGTTTTGCGTTATAAAAATGAAAAATACATCTATTTTAAATAATTTGTAATTATAGTTTCTCATTATTAAATTCCCTTATCCAAATCTCTTTTGACTATTCTGACTACAATATGAGTCTTGAGTATGTACGGGCGTTCATTACTAGAGGAGTTCCTTCCAGTTGTATTTTTATGCAGCGAATATTTCAAGGTCTTGAACTCGTTTATCCTACATTCTTTGTGGTTAATTGATTTACTATCATAAGGGAAATATACATAAACTCCACTTTAGTTGGTCTTACTAATACTTACTATAAATAAATGCTGAATAATACGTTTACCGTTGCTATAATCGAAAATACAACGCGCCATACCTGGATATTTATGGAGCAGTTTATTTTAGCATCAAGGGAGACTTAACTTCGTTTCTCTTTAGTTTCCATATGAAGCTTAAAGTTTTCAAATTGCCAATTTAGATTGTAGTGTAGTACTTGAGACACAAGAGGTTTTCTAATACTTTAGTTTTCTATTCGATAATTTCTATTGTAAAATAATGCACTATTTTGCAGGGTTTCAATGTTTTTCTCAGTTGCAACATTTCTGTTGCATCTCGTTGATGTAAGAATTTATTGCAATATTGTTCTCAATCAACCAATAAATTAGCTTATGTACCAAACCGTCATATATTTGAAGTTAAACGTTAATTTCACTCTTTGTGACTTCCGCGTCTACGCATCAGTTTAGTTTTCCATGATCAGCAATCTAGCTAATTCAAAGTCATTTCCACTGAGTTGCTCTACTTACAGCTTTTTTGTTTACGGTTATGAATTCATACTTGTCCTATATATTTCTGTATAACTTGTTCTAACTTTTCTTTTACAGAAAATCCTCAGTCTCATGATTCTCATAAAGACAAAAAAGATGATTTTGAAGCTTATAATTCAGAACGTCAAACTGGCATCAGTTTCCGATTAGCTCGCCCGATTCCACCAAAGTCTCAGTCCACTCAAAATACAGAAACGTCGGCGGGAGAAATTATGGACATAATTGAAGCTGCTGCACTAGAGTACTCAGAATCTGTTTCCAAAAGTTTAAGACGGACTAACGAACAACTTAATAGGTTATTGAGTCATTCGAAAAGTGACAGTCAGTCAAAATCACAGAAGAGAAAAACTCGATCTCCAAAAATGTGTGTTATACCTGGTATTCCCAGTCCTAGTTCATCGTCTTCCTCGGAATCTTCTCCACCTCAAGTTGAAAGTCCATACTCTTACACAAATCGTTCTAGTGGAGCTTCAAATTCGAATTCTGTTTGTACATCACCCTCCATATCCTTTGAGCGAAATGAAAGAAATAAACAAGTGCATAACATTCAGTCTCCTGTTCAGTCTATCTGTAACATCACTTCACCCTATGATAATAATTTGTGTTCTCCTGTGGAGTCGATATCTAATTCAAGCTCACATTTAACCTCCAACTGGCCTTCATGTGCTCTTGAAGATTTATTAGGTAAACACAGTCTTTGTTCTTGATCTATATTTTCATACAATAAGTTTCCGTTATTTAGTTTCATTAAAGCATACTTTTTAATTTGATATAACGTACTTTACAAACAAGTTTGCTGAATTATTATGTTCATTCTCTCCAAATGATAGATATACATGAACCTACAAGTCTTTTGGACTTCTCTGCCGATGGTTATCAAGTTACGGTCCCTACAGCTAAAGAAGAGCGTCTGCGTGAGGAAAGGCGTAAAAAAGCTGCCCAATTGGTTACCCAGTTGAAATTAACTAATTCTATCACAAAAGGAAGTATAAATACTAGTACAACTATCTCCAAATCTTCGACAGTTAATACCACATCAACGACGGCTAATCGGTATCGTTCGTCACCTCCACCAGCTCCTGATTCAGTCCCTGCAGCCGTCGCACATGCTGTAGTTGCTAACATGAAACGTCGTCGAGAAGCTTTGGAAATCGAGAACAAAGTATGTTAATGCTTTTGACTTTTTAAATATGTGAATACCCTATTAGTCAAGGGTTCTTTTCGCTTTAACGGTGCAATGATACTCCAATACATTTTGTTATTATTTCAATCTGTTCATTTATAAAGACGCTATTGTAATGCACGAATTTTACCTCGTTTGTAGGCTCGTAGAAGGCGCCATCGTTCACCACCAGCTGCTTATGCATTTGCGCGTAATCGAATCTCTGACAGATCTCCACGGAGGTCACCAACTCCTAGGTGTGATTCTTATGATCGTGAGGACCCAAGAGATCGGGACGATCATCATTCAAAATCCAAGAAAAAACATAAAAAATCTCATTACTAATCACATCGTAAAGACACATTATTGTAAACAAGTGTACATATTTATATTATATTGTGATCTTGTATTATTAAGCAGAAATGTGATTAATTCGAACAAGGTTTTGATGCGTTGTTCCTTTCCACAGTTTTGAGCAGCTGGAAAAAGTTCTCTATCAGCCACAAGAGATTTTCGAAACTATAATTGTAATGTAATTTATATTTAAATGTCTGGTTTGTATGATATGTGTAACCTTGATAAAATTTGATACTGAACGACCTAGATTTGTAATAATTACCAGTTTATATTCACATTTCATATATTCTAACACGTGAATAACAACGTTTATCCACTGACAAGTTGCTTTTATTGCTTAAACTTTTTTAATTGTTTAGCTACCGAGCATATAAATAAGATTTGAATTTTTAGGCCACCATTATTATAATTTTAGTTGATTCCCTTCAACAACAGTTTATTGTGTCGAAGGGGAGTATCCACAGAAAGGTCTGAATAATCGTCCCATTTGGCGTCCGTTGATAATGAGTATAGACCATTTGGATTTATATAACATTTGTTAAATCTCATTAGAAAATATTCCTGGTTTACAACGGGAGAATATTATTAGATTCTGTGTACTTGTCGTTAGCTTGTTTCTCACGACAACTAGTTTAAACAAGTATCTTAATTATTTTCTTCAGGTTTAAGTTATTTTTACAATCTCCGAATTGTTAGGTTCATTATTTGCATACAATCTATGTACCGTTTATGGAACAATAATTCAATCAGGCAGCTAGAAATTGTCACCATAATGTTTTACTAAAAGTGATTAAACTAGGATACTTAAAACATATCTTTACTCATGACCACATAATACAATCCATCGTTCACTAGTAAATCCATTTGAATACCGACTATTAGAGTTTCGTTTACTGACTGAACGATTTTCCGATAATGATAGCGAGATTGCAAAATAGGGGTAGACCTGACATACAATAGTTGAAGTTTCGTCGGGATCATACGTTAACTAGACCCATTTTATTAACCCCGAGTTAGCAGTTTCATTTTAAAATGGTTCTAAAGAAGACAAAAGGTTTAGTTATAAAGCAAGGTCAACATGGATATATTAAAGTGTGAGCAATACGATTATTGTGTGTAGTCACTGCGTATTCACTTTAACAGAATAAAAGAAAGGTTTTGTTTTTTTGCTTTTTCTGCAATCATAAAGTTAACGTTACAATGAAAACACTTTTTCTGCAGTATTCTTTTGTTGCATTGATTGAAAATATCAACGGACAACTGGTTATTCCTGGACACATGACCTTTTTGTGGAAAGTCTCACATATGCTATCTCCATACCTTGGAACTCGTAATGCCATCGGAAATCCATAGGGTAACGCGAGATGCGCTATTTTCATGGTCAACCTTTTCTAACCTCTTTACGTTATGAAAAGATAGTGTCTTTGTGAATGCTTTTTGTCTGGGAGGAACTACTACCATCACATCCCAGTACGGCCAGCAACATAACTTCGTCATCTATAAGTTATTGCTCTTAGTCTTATCGTTCTTCAGCTAACCTGCCTGACATAATAAAACCGATAGGAATAAGTGTTTCAACCAAAATAACTATCTGCCCATCGCAATAAGCAAACCTTACCACCATGGTGAGGTATCATTTATAGTTGTGAAGTTATTTATTTAATTAGGAATGTAAATACGAAATTGTAAGAATTTTCTGATTGTGTTATCGTTTAACGATAGATATTAATCTTAACAATCTGCGTAATTAGACCAAAAAAATAAAAGTATACTTTAGATTTCTATCAATAAAACAAGTAGTTGCCGTGATAAACTACTGTTATTAACCTAGTTTTATTGATTTTATTTTTGAAATGAGGTGAGTATACAATTTTTATTGATAAACTCTTTGGAATGTGTTTTTCAAACTACACAAAATCGATAATTGAGCAAAGGTGACCTACTCATGGCTGTTATTTTCTCATTAGTAATTTCTTTGTTTATTCTAGCGGTTTTTATAAAAATGTTATTTACTTATATCCAAATCATCCTCCATCCTAATAGTTATGACACAAAATTTCAAGGATAAACCTAATTAGTATATATAAGTGAATTGAATCAGTTATATGGAAATAGTTACATGAGCTCTATCCAGAGTAGGCTTTACTTTTGAGTATTGAAAACATTTCAAAAAGAAGTGCTTAAGTCCATAAAGAGTGGATTGCGTATGTTGTTAAGATGGGTTCATCAAGTCTCAAAGTATCTGTCAAAAGACTTGTTTGCCCATCCTGTGCTTTTGCACCACGTTATTTATTGAGGCCTATGAAGAGCTGTAGAGTAAAAGATATCTGTGAACAGTTACATCCGTTTGTCCATCATAACTATCTGGATCAGAATCTAAAGACTAGTGTAACTCATTGTTCTAATAATGTATCAGAATAGCAGCATGTGAAGGTCCTTCTGAATATTTTCATATTTTCCCAGTATAATATACAATATAACATTCCTTTCGAATGAACGAGATTTAGCTCGACTATATCTCATTACCAGTATTAATCTTTATCACTTCCTATTCTTATATTTGATATACCGTCGGCATTCTTTTTCACCATATTCTTATTTTGTCTGGAGCAGATTTTTTGCTATAGTCGAGCATAAACTTTTGATTATGGTTGAAATGGGATTTTTTGCCTAGCTTCATTCATTACACGAAGCAGTATTTTTCCATGAGTTAGTTCCATTGCATATGGAAAATTGTCCATAAATGAAAATATAATCAAATAGTGACGGTAACTTTTTACCAACTTTTAAAGCAACACAGTGACAGTTGACAAATTTGAAAATTGTTTCTAGCTAAAAATTTAGCTCGTTCATATCTAGAACATATTTAGCACTGACATTATCAGTTAACTATCAGTAGGTTTTATAACAAATTTAATTATAAGATTATATAATCAGGAAGTCACGTTAGACAGATAGTTGACGATAATACACTGACATGACATTAATTAGACAACTACATAAACCTTTATAGGGATTCACATAGCATTACTTTCTTACTATGATGAAAATTCACCAATCACTAAATGATCCAATTTTGGAGATATTCGAAGTTAAAACTAATTTCATTTAATTGTCTTTATTTTCACCACATTTATTTGACCAAATAACAACGTAATCAAGAAGGGTTAACGAAGTACTTGGTGATAACAACAATGACAACAGTAATTGCAATGGCATTAATATTGGGATCTTGATGTAAGCAAAAGCAAAAGAGATTATTACTTAAAATTGCCACATGAAATATCTAATCTATTTGCTATTTTTTTCTTCATATTCCACTTCAAATAGTCACCTCATTTTGCAAAAATCTATTCTGTTTGAATTGCACTCCGGTTTGTTAAAAGGTGAATTGATCATTTAAAGCATTATCTCATGAAATTGTAAAAATATTTCCAATTCCGATGGTGTGAAAACTCCATCTCCTGAATTTTAAATTTAAAAAAAATCCAGGAGAAATAAATGAGATTTTGCCATATAATTAGGAAGAATGATTCGAAATAAAAAAGGAAAAAAACTAGTATTCACAATCTAGCATATTTTTAATGGCTCGTAGATAGGTAATTTACTCCATAATCCACCTACACATTTGAATTGGGAGTCATTTAACATATTAATAAATTTACTTAATAAGAAAACATAATACGGTAATAAATATTCTGATGGGTTTTGTGGATATTATAGTTAATTTCAATGGTTAAGATCATGAGTCAGTTGAAGCTAGACCACCATGGAAAATCTGGAAGCACTGGACGGTCGTCGCTCAATTTCGCGGATTAGTTGAAGTTAGACATTAACAGCGTTGGATGCCGGCTCAGTGGTCTAGTGGTTAAGTGCTCGCGCGTGAAACCAGTAGGTCCTGGGTTCGAATCTTGCAGGGGGCGGGGTCGTGGATGCGCACTGCCGAGGGGTCCCACAATAGGACGAAACGGCCGTCAAATGCTTTCAGGTTTTTCATGGTAGTCTAGCTTTAACTGACTCATGATCTTGACCATTGAAATAAATATTCTGTTATAAAAGTGGGACTTTCACAAAATTCAGTCTGGTGTATGCGACTGAGCTGAATAATTCGATGCACACAACAATCGGAAACTCAAATTCAGTATATTCCAGATAATTTTGTATCCCTCGTCATTCAACAGTTGAGAAAATAAATAAACATTGAAAGATCAGAAGAGTTGGAAATGTATTTCATGCCTTTATTGTCGATAATATAATAAGAGATGTTTGGATATTTGTTGGAGGATGTGGCGTGAGCCTTGAAATCAGTCAGTGAGGATGCAGTTTTAAAGGAATAACACTTAAAATTTTTGAACATAATAATTAAAAAAATCATCTTTATGGACAATTCTAGTCAAAATGTTTATTCAAAATATTTCCTAGAAGGTTCATCGGAATAATTGAATTAAAATGTTACATTAACTAATTAAAAGATAATTTTTGACATTATTGGAGACTCTTAAGTCTTGAGATGGTGGAGAAGATTTGCAGCTCAGGTGGATGGTTTTGATGGAATTTAGTTCTCTGAGATGGATGGTTTGGTCGTTCTTCTGAACAATGAAAGCTCCACGACCAAACCATCCACCTCAGAGAACTAAACTTAATCAAAAAACTCTTAGGTCTTCAATTCCTTAACCCAAAATATAATAAATAACAGATATTAAATAGCACTGAAAGTAAACTCAGGTTATTCAATGTCATTTTGTAGACTTTAATTCTGAGTTTTATCACAATTTCTTACTCGAACAAAATTTCAAATGGTAAAAAGTATTAAAATTCAATGTGAGCAATCAAACTACAAGATATACCATATTACAGTGCTTTATTGATTTATAGATAATCACTATGATCAATATCAGTTTGAATTTGAATTTTCTAAGTATTATGATCTAGTAACACATAAATATGCAAAGCTGATTTATTTCATCTGTTAGCTTCATTTTTGATTGTCTTAAAATTCCAGTTTGGGAAATGTTGTTCCATGTCGGTAGTACATTAGAACCATTAGGTAGTTTTAATTAATTACCTATCACTTGTAAATAAAAGTACAATCATTAATATATGAAAAACAATAAGCAATGAATTTGTTGGTCTTATAGATTATTAAAATACTGATAAACAGTAGAATTTATGCCAAAAATATGGTTACATATATTTGAAAGCTCAAAAAATTCATAAAATTAGCCATTAATGATTGTTGAATTACAAACACCATAGCTGATACAAATAATTCTAGGATAGTAAATTACATCAAATAATTTATGAGACATAGTAAGTTGATT